CTCTTTCGACCATCTAGAACTTAAGTTCTTTGTCCATTTCTTCTTCTTACTCTTCTCACAGCTAGTAATAAACATGTGCGCCGCACGCTTTCTCTTCCGACTCTCCTTCATCTCCTTAGGGGACCAATCTGTGTGTACATCTTCTTCTTCACCGTCTAATTTCTCCATCTCATCGTTTCTGAGGAACTTCCTTCCTTCCTATTAACCCAATTGAGCATCCCGCTACTCTTAAGCTCAGTCCAAAGACGCCCCTCCTTGGAAGGTTCCAATAAGACGTTCTCTTGTCAAAGAATCTCAACGGGTGATGATGTGAATGCGTGGGAGTTCAAAGGCTGTGAAATAATTAATGAGAGTGGCGAAGCTTTACTAGATGTTTCAACTTTCAATTAATTAATTAAACCAAAATTCAAAGATGGATGCTTGAATTGAATCTTTTTCGTATTACAAATTTAACACAGATTTTCAAGCCTCCTATTAAGATGAAATATCACATTTACAAATATATTTGTAATAAGTTTATATTGAATGTTATAAATGTCGAAATCAATTGCTTCATCTTCTATATTCACAACCACACTCCATACTAGTACCAAAAGCAAAGTACCATCAACATGATTACAAGCAGCAAAACCATTCAAATGTCCAGAATTCTACATTTTTATTGCTACCACACCACAAACACGACTTCTCTAAGTTCTCTTGCTGACCACGTATAGTTACTGGACATGGATCTTTGTATACATAGCAAGGCTCACAACACACTTGACCAAACAACCTCCATCTATTCTGTGTAAGATGAAACAGACTGCTCACCTTCATGGTATTAGCACAACTGATCCAGATGTTTTTCGGCTCTCCAGCTCTGCATGTGCCTGTGCTGCTTGTGCCAAAGGGTATGTATGATTTACACGAACCCGCAAGACACCTGATGAAACGTTGGCAAATACCTCCCCAGCAGTTTCTAGCAGCTCATCCCGGGTTGTCGTGTATTGCATGAGAGAAGGCCTCGTCAAGAACAGAGATTTTGGTGCCAGTGCTGATAAGGGAACTGGATCTGGTATACCAGAAGACTGCCCAAAACTCACCATGTAACCCCGAAGCTTTAAGCATGCCAGTGATCCCTGAATATGGTAAAACTTAGATGTTAAGAACTGACTCCCAACAAATTTAAGAGAACAAAGTAGAGAGACCTGTTAAACCCAACAACCGTTTACGTCAACCAAAACTCTTAATGGATCAACTCGGTTCAATCTGGATTGCATTTTAGCAAAATTTTATTAAACCAACTTCATTATTAATTTAAATTCTTCAAGACAATTAATCAGTTCTAGCCTAGGATCAAATTGCTTTCAATAATATAACTAACGTGCTTCATAACCTTATGGGACAACAAGGAACAATCCCCCAATTTGTCCTCAAGTGGATACAGTAAACTTTTAGTTGTTTAAATTCCAAATCAACTATCCTATCACAGATGCACTCCTGGCGACTAATATAAGCTAACATGAAAAGCACACTGAAAAACATGAGCATCATTTAAGTGTATCCACTTTAAAAGGTTTAGTCAAGATTCTGCTTCTGTGACACACCCTATTATGTACAATACTATACTTCCCATTGATTCAACCATCTGTACATAAGGAGAATAAAGTCATGTTACCTGAAAGGTGTCTTTTCCTACAGAATCATAGACAACATCTACCCCATTGCTTGATGTTATCTCATTAACGCGGGCAACAAAATCCTCTTCCTTGTAGATTATAACATGGTGACATCCATCATCCTTGGCTTGAGTTGCCTTCTCTTTAGTTGAGACAGTGCCAATAACAGTTGCACCCAGAGCATTTGCCCATTGGCATAACAGAGATCCAACCCCACCAGCTGCAGCATGAACAAGAATTGTGTGTCCACGCTCAACCTGTGTATATAAAAAGAGAATCACATCCTTTTTACTACTGAAGTAAGAAAAGAAGAATCAATCTATCCTAACAGGTCAGCATGATATCCGGACAATCATGCTACATCATTATTAAAATGACTAAAATAATGAAATTGTGAAGATAAATAACACATTCATGATGAAGGCATTTTATTCTAACAGTCTTTCATACACGGAGAATGCCCATATGCCAAACTTTTTTGTTTTTGCTAGCCATAGAGACGTCCAATTCAAGGATAACTTACTTAAAAGTAATGTTTTTCCCAATACAGTTATTTAGCTTATAATTAATAAATCAATTGTTTTCCTCCAGAAAATCATTTTTTGTTGCTCTCTTTTCTATGTTTTATAAGTAAAATACTCTATGTGGCTCATTCTGCACACATTTATGACAACAACTTTGACATGTACAATCATTGATAAAATGTCCAAATATTAATCCACTTGATCCAAGCAGGAATTCTTAAAAATAGCAACCAACATGAGTTTTTGTATCATATAACTTTTCTGGCCAAGAACTATTTCATACCCCGATAATGGAACTTGGAAGAGCAAATGCTCGAAGATGCACATGATACCTACCTTGAAGCAACGGCGAAGTAGAAACTGAGCTGTCATACCCTTAAGTATGACAGAAGCTGCAATAACAGGTGAGATAGAAGAAGGAACAGAAACCACTTTGTTTGCAGGAAGGATCTGCTCTTCAGAATATGAACCCATTGGACCGCCAGCATAAGCCACGATATCTCCAACTTCCCTGCCAGTAAGCCCAGGGCCCACAGCAATTACCTCTCCAACAGCCTCCATACCTACAATAGAGAAACGAAAGTCATTTAATAGCCTTGCAGCTGATTTATTCACGATGCTGCATGAGCAAATGTCCTAGCACCATGGCTCAACAAGCAGGTATACTTAATCTAATATCATAAAAACACAGCAACCTAAATTAACTTAGAATCAAATATAAAAAGTAATTTCTAATACCAAAGGAGTTCGCTTGCTACTTGCTTGAAGAACATAAAGCCAAATGAATGTGGCAGTAGCTTAGACCAAAAAGATCACATAACAAAAATGATACTTTAAGAAATTGTCATAATCAAATTTCAGATGAGATATCACGTATTATTCATAATCTTCTAGCAATTATTAAACACATAGCATCTTGCAGTAACTTACACATCACTTACAGTCTACAGAGAAGAAAATAACAAGGGCTATGCCATAATCAATAACTTGCACAATGCATCTAATAAGCAATTATTGTTAAAATAACTAGGAGTCATTCTTTCTTGAAAATGGAAAATATGAAATATAAAGTAACAGAGCCACACCTGGGGTGAAGGGCATTGTGGCAGCCTTATAAACGCCTTTCCGGAAGTAAATATCGATAAAATTAAGCCCAATCGCTTTGTTTCTCACGCGTATCTCGCCTTCACCAGGCTCCCCTATTTCCACATCCTCCCACTTCAGAACCTACCATAATCACGCACAATAATAAGTTATACAGAAAACATCTCCATTTACAAAACTTAGTAACAACTCTTGCATCCCCCATATTAATGTTTCATTTCTAAGAATTAAACTGCAAAATTATACATGACCCAGATTGCATACAAGGTAAATTTATAAAAATCTCATATTCAACGGTAGTGTAATATAATAAAACAACCATAAATTGGAATCAATAATACAAAACTAGAAATGGATTTCACAAATTGATCAGGAAATAAGGAACAGACAACAAACCTCAGGTCCGCCAAGTTCATGAACCCTAATGGCTTTGACCATATTTGATATTGGAGATGCAGAATCGGTGGCAAGTGCTTTTAGTTTAGTATGTCTAAGTGAGAAAAGTGGTGGAGAGGTGAAAATGGAAGAATTGTGTAGAAAGAAGAGGGTTGAATTTTGATTGAAACGGTGTGGAGCGGAAGCTAAATATGATAGTCTAAGTGACGTTAATATTCCCATTATTAAACCAAAGTATTGACAATTTATTAGTGCTGTTGACTACCCATTTTCAGTGTACCTGGATGGAATATGGGGACGGTGAAGAACATCACTGTGTGTAATAACAGTTGAGTGAGACCTTAGAGCTGGCCAGCTGGGCTTTCGATTTAGAATTTTAGATGACCTTTTTTTTTCGAATCCTTCCTATACATATTGAAAAAGATGATATATATATATATATTTCTTTTAAGAGTTATCATCTTTTTCTTACTCAAATAATGGTTGAACAATATTTTTTTATTTATAAATTTATAAATTTATAAATTATTATTTTATTATTAAAATTAATATTTCAAATATCATTATAGAGTAAATTCGGTTCAGATTATAACGACTTTTAAAGAGAGTTGACTGATAAGTCCTTTGATAATGAAGGTTAGATTTTGGTAGTTAGAATTAATCCGAATTTGATTTAGGAAAGACATCTGTACAAACCCTAATCGCTTGATTATTAGCAATTGATGGTGTCGAAGGAGTGAGGTTTTGGTGAGTGATGATCGAAAAAGAGAATAAGAATTGTATGAGGTTACAATGATACCGAAATCGAAAATAGAATATAAATTTGAATAATAAAGTGGGATTTTAAAAATTCTGTGACTGAAAAAGTGTGTCATTAAACTATTATTTGGTTGACAATATATTGAAATAAATGGAATTACTTTTTTCTATAGAAAAAGTTGTTTGTGTAATGTTATACTAGAAATTATTAATTAAATGATAAAACAATTGTTATTTTTGGAAATAATTATATATTTATCACAAAAAATATTATAAAACCCCTTAAAAATATTAAAAACCTTTATATATGGGGTATTTCATTCTTTATAAAAATCATTGGATTACACATTTTTGGCAGATATTAATTAAAACTAGCTGTAGCCGGCACCTGAATATTACAAGATCTTCTCCATAATTGTGGGTGCTCAATTCTAACTTAACACACTAAACCTATTTATAATTATTTGATCTCAAACTCAAACTCAACCACCGATCTGTAACTAGCTGCCGCCTTCCATCCTTGAGGCCACCGGCGTCTTCCCCGAATACTTTGATGTCAATTTAGTCGACAACTTCCAAACCGCTCCCCACGATTTTGTGTCATGCTCCTCCATTCACCTGACCCCGAACCCTCCTTCAGATCAACTGCTCCGAGATCTCCATCTCCCGCTTCAAACTCAACCACCACCGCAAAGTAGTTTGGATTTGACCCTTGGTCCACATGGAGCACTATCTGTTTCCCTGAATAATCACACACAACCCTGCAAATTTATACCGCCCCATCAAACTTTTGAGTTACCAATTTAACCTAGTATATATCTTAATTGTATTGAATTTATGTCTACCGTGCATATTGGATTTGCCGGAATCATAAAGATTTGGGCCAATTGCAGTGACAAGAGAAGAGAAAGGACGCTGAGACACAGCACTACCATAACCACAAGAACCTCCTGCATGCATGAATAACATTTAAATAATTCACTCAACAATATTAATAATAAAACATATATATGCATGTCTCTCTCTTGTATATATATAAATATTTATACACATTACCGTCGCTTCCGGCACCATCTGGGCTGCCATACCAGGTGGCTCCGGCAGGCGACCACTGGGGGTTCCAGTGGATGACAAGTTCAAATGTTTTGGGTAGAAGCAAGAAGAAAGCTGTAAGTAGCAAAAGAAAGCTACCAAATAGTAGAGGAATAAACTTGCCATTTTCAGAAACAACATATAATAACTGCTATCAGCTTTAGCTATGATTATTAATCCGGAAAATTGCTGGTATTTATAGAAGCAAAAGCATGTGCGTAGTCGCCATCAATCCATGCAATCACAATTTTATTTAATTACGGCCAATCTCTTCATTATCCCCACTTCAATTAACCCATTTAAGTCTTTGTCTTGACGTCCAAATTTTACGTTAATTTTGTAATCCCTGAATATATGCATGTAATCAAGTTTCAATTTATAGAAATTTGTACTTTGCATGAACCGAAATTCAATAAAATTGTATATTCAAACCTTCAATTTATAATATCATCACTCTCGTGTATGCATAGATTTTTTTTTTTTTCTTTTTTTGTGTTTATCAGAGGTGTTTGGGTCAACTTATACGCACCTTAGCTAATTTTTAGGAACCTTAGAATTATCGATCGGATAAGAGCTTTAGTGATCACTCTTATTAACAATCGATGAGAGATTCAAACTCGAAACCTCTTGAATAATATACTTAAGAGTTCTTAGTGAACCACTCAGTCACGTAACGGTTGGTTATTACACATTGATTTTATTATCCACATCAAATCGTCTGAAAATATTAATTTGGATTGAAATTAATGATCTTTTTCTAACTAATTATTGCATGTGTTTGAATTAAGTCCTGGTGTAAGAGATTTAAATAAATTAAATGTAGTAGAAAAAACCATTGTCGGTTTGAAGCTAGGCCACCTCTTTGATATTTGATTACAACATTTAATTTATATTAGAATAATACAACACATACAATATTTTTCACACAACATTATGTGGGAAAAGATTATTAGGTAAAAATTTAATTTTAATTTAAAATTAATCAATCATATTTTATCACATAATGTTGTATGAGGAATGTTTATAAAAATATTGTATGTATAATATTATTCTTTGTATTAATTTGATAATTATTCGATTAAATACAAATTTCTCCATGTATTTTGCCGTTGATAGTGGTTATTTATAGTTAATCCCTCGAGATTGTGTAAATTTTTTTTTAAAGATTTTATTGATTCATGACCGTGATTGAATTGAAGGGACCCTTAATTTCGGATTGATTGCACATGTTAATTTATATTTTATTGATTTGGGTCGACGTTATTCAACCGTAATAAGTATATTGATGGCTAAGTGTTTGGATTTATTTGTGTATAAAATCAACTATAATATGCTTTTTTTCAACTTCTATGAGAATGATGTCTCACCCACAGAATCTATCCTTTTCCTCCCGATTTTGCACTTCAAAATTTCTGTGTATCTATTTTGTTAAGGAGTTAACGACATGTTCTCACTCAAAAAATGACACATTGACAAATTCATATCTATTCACTTTTAAAATACCCTTTCAGTACTTAAAGCATAATTTTGTTAATAATTTTCGTTGCTAGAAAGGGAAAAATAACCAAAAGTCCATTATTAATGAGAGCAGAATGGTCAACAAACATTTGATGGTCGTAAAAGAAGAAAAAAAAAAAGGGATGGCACACGTTAGCAGCGTTATAGCCGTCGGTTTTTGCCCTTTTTTTACCGATCTTGGCATTCCAAATCATTTCCGAGACCACCCACAGAATCCTCATCACCTCCTCAACAAAGCCCAAGCCTCCATTTGCCATCATCACTCACCATTTCCTACCACCACCACCATTCGCACGGCCAACTCTTCAAGCCATATTTTCGGTCGATTTCTTTGCCATAAATTCCCCTAGACACCACTATCACACTCCCCACAACCCACTCTACAAAACCCTAACCTCCATCACCGTCCATTGCTTGCCGATCGCCAACCGTGCATCGCATGACCTTTCAACGTCCAAGCCAATTTTCGATCGTTTCCAGTGTCAGAAATCATCCCTCCCACCATCAATCAACTACCTGGATCCTCCTCTCCAAAAGACTCGACATTCTCGATCTCTTTTGCTCACCAATCGCTGGCTATTGAAGCTTCCTCACCCTAGGGTTTTTCGAGTTTCAATTGGATTAATTGAGTTTGATCCGTTCAGTTTTTGTGTTTGTTGAGTTGAAAGACAACTGAGGAATATTTGTTTGTAGTATTTTCTTGTTGTCGGCACTCCCCAACGCTGATGGCAATTACCGGCAATGGAAGAGACTAAGAAGAGGGGTTTTTTTTCATAAATCACTATATTTCCCAATCAAATCAGAGAGAAACATATTATTTGGGTTAGGGGTGAGCACAGGTAGCGGGTAGACATGGAACCTACAGGTAGAATTGGAACTGGAACCTACCCGGAACTGACATTGTGCGGGTAGGTTCCGATTCCATTTTTCTGGAACCGACACTGTGCGGTTCCGATTCCGATTCCTACATGTAGATGAACCAAAACCGAAATCGAAAGTTGGAAAAAAGAACTTGCAGCAGGTACTTGGTTTGGAACATGTTCTGGAACCTAGGCTGAAATGAAATATCTGTGAAGAATTAGGGGGTCTATGTAATTTTACATAAAAATTAAAATGAAAACAGTTAAATTTTTATAATAACCTAATTAAATAAACATACAATTATACTTATTACATATAAACTACACTATATAAAAAACTTTAATATGTTATAATATATTAATATTAAAATTTTGATTAATTAAGTGTATAATTGGAATTAGGACCAATTAAAAGTGTTTTAATGTTATTAAAATAATTATTTTTTAATAAAATAATATATTTGAATATTTGATTGAATAATAATATAATATTTAGTTATTTACTTCAATTATCAAGTTCTAATTATATCTGTAGTAAAATAATAATTAATTAATTATATATGATAAATTGATAAACATTATTACATTATTAGTTTAATGATTACTTAATCAATTATAACATTACATTATAGATTTATAGTATAATTACTTAATTAATTATAACATTACATTATAAACAAATGATTATTTAATTAAATGATTACTTAGTTAATTATAACATTCCATTATAAATATTAGTACAATACTTAATTAAATGATTAAAAATTTAATTAATTATAATATTACATTAAAATTTTATAGCATGATTACTTAATTCATTATAACATTACATTATAGTATGATCAAATAATTAATTATAACATTACATAATTAAATGATTACTTAATTAATTATGACATTATATTATAAATATTACTCTCTTTGTTCCTATTTAAAAGACGTTTTAAGGTTGGGCACAAGTTTTAATAAAAATAAAATTTTGTCTCTCCCACCAACTTTTTCCCCTTATTTTGCAGGTGGGAAAAGACTTTGCAGGTGTGAAACATTCCCGTTGCATATTTAAATAATTAACCATTTTGTCTTATTCCATTTCCTGCTCTTCGTCCCTTTCTTTTCTGTACTCTACTCTTCGTCCCTTCTTTTTCTTTTACCCTGTAGTCTGTTCCATGTCTTTTATTTTCTCGTCCTTCACTCATTTCCATTTCCATTTCTTTGATTCTGTTCGGTCAGTCACCATGACCGAACAATGTAATAGTAGAGGTGTGCTTAGGGAAATTGATTTAAATGTTCTTCCAACATTAGAAACTACGAATGAAGTTGATGATATAACCGAGAAAGTTAATACACATGTGAGTTGAAAAAAACCTTACAAATGAACAAGGACAAGCAATTTTTGAATCTCTATTGAAGTGAACTCAAATCTACTACACAACTACCACAAACACCCATTTTCTCCTTTTTCTCCCGTGGACACCACTCAACTAGACTGGTCCACTCTCCCTGCACTTCTCCTCAACGCCATCGCTAAACGCCTTGCCACACGTATAGACATCCTCTCTTTCCACGCCGTATGTAACTCATTTCGACTCTCAGTTCCTCCTTGTCCACCACCCCTCTCCCTCCTCGCTCCGATCTCAAATTTTCCTTCTGTCAAACCCTCACACCTTACCCCATGGTGACCTCTCTCTCGCCCAGTCCACCATTTACGCCTTCGAACCCCTCGACTCCACACAGCAACCCGGCGAAACGTGGCTTCTTAAAGTCAAAGAATTGACCTTCGGTAAAGTCCCAGTCGGGGATCCTGTCTTTAAACTTTGTTCGAAAAAGAGAGAAAAGATGGAAGCAGAGAAAGAAGAAGTGGCGATGGAAAATATGGAAGAGGGGAGAAGAGGGGAAGATTAAAGAGAGACAGAGGAGATGTGGGCATCATGAAAAGTTGAGAAAGGAGAAGACAAAGATTAAAGAGAGACAGAGAAGATGTGGTCATGACGAAAAGTTGAGAAAGGAGAAGACAAAGATTAAAGAGAGACAGAGGAGATGTGGTTATAAATTAAAGTGGAGAAAGGACAAGACAATGACAACTTTTATTTTGAAAAAATAAAACACCCTTAAAACGATAATTATTTAAAAACAGAGGGAGTAGTAATTTACTAAATTAGCATAATACTTAATTCAATTATTAAAAATTTAATTAATTATAACATTATATTATAAATTTATAGTATGATTACTTAATTAATTATAATATTCAATTATAAACATTAGTAATTTACTACATTAGCACAGTACTTAATTAAATGATTAGAAATTTAATTAATTATAATATTACATTATAAATTTATAGTATGATTACTTAATTAATTATAACATTACGATATAAATAAATGATTACTTAATTAAATTATTAGAAATTTAATTAATTAAAACATTATATTATATTTAAATAATTACTTAATTAATTATAGCATTACATTATATTATAACCACTTAATTAATTATAACATTACATAGTTAAATGATTACTCAATTAATTATAAATTTATAACATTACATTATAAACATTAGTAATTTACTACGTTAGTACATTTCTTAATTAAATGATTAAAAATTTAATTAATTATAACATTACATTATAGATTTATAGTATAATTATTTAATTAATTATAATATTTCATCGTAAACATTAGTACAATACTTAATTAAATGATTAGAAATTTAATTAATTATAGATTTATAGTATGATTGTTTAATTAATTTAATTAATTGTTTGTGTTTTGGTTTTGATGAAGGAATTTTATGTGAATTGTGATGAATTGATTGAATTCAAATGTTGCCTAAAGATTAGAGGATTTATAAGTCACATTGGACACAAATGAATGAGTAATCAAAATTTGTAAAGGGTGTATTTGTTAACTTTTAAGATATTTTTGTCATTTTTTAAACTAATAAAGGGGTAATTGATTTTTTATAGGATACTCAAGAAAGCAACTAGAACCTACATTTTAGGTTCCAGTTTTTTGAATTTAAGAACCTGCATTATGCTGTTTCAGTTCCTGTTCCTTTTTTTGGGAATCTGCACTGTGCGGTTTGGGTTCCGGTTTTCTCGAAAAATGCAAGATACCTAGAACCTCTCACCCCTAATTTGGATGGTAAAACAGTATTTTAAAACTTGGAGGGTGGGAAAGTGTCAATGAACCAGTTTTTGGGTGGGAACATGTCGTTAACTATTTTGTTAAGTTATGTTAAGATTGTTATACATTAATAGAATATTAGAATTAAATTAATAGCTATTAAAAAGGTAAGACGATACGAAATTAAAAGTTGGACGGCTTAAATTACTTAAGCTTTCCACATTATATATTATTTGTTGTACTTGTACCTTTCTATGCTTACAAATGAACAATGTGTGAGGACAAATTTTAAGCTTTTTATTATTATTATTCTTTAAAAACAAAATTTTGATACTTTTCTAAACATATTATTAGGTCTACATTTACATATTATTACAAAAGCCTTTTCCCGGAATGAATCTTATTCTTTATTTAAACTTGGATCATTTTTCAATATGAATATTCTTGTTATTGAGCTTTAAATAATTTTGTAATTAAAATATCTCCTTTATTATTCATGTGATATGAAATAGGATGTTCATTTTTTTTTCTAATTTTTTCTAATGGTGCCCGAATTAAGGATCTTTAAACATGGATTATGCATGGCAAATGTTGATTAAACGAAAAACAAAAGGGCTGGACCATTTGATGGAGTGGCAAACGAGCCCACAAGAGACTACACACCACAGATATAGCTTAAGCCCTTTACCTTATGGGGCTGTCCATTTCAACTGAGCCCATTTTAACATATTTAAGGCTTAGCGCAATGTCAACACCTAAAAACCAAAACGCAATTTTCAACATTTCCAATTGAACCAGCAACAGCAAGTATAAATGGTTTGAATTAATTAGTAATAATGTACTAGAGTAAACGGCTTTTTCCCACCCAAGGTTTGCCTTAATGACACTTTTCCACTCAAAAAGTTTCAAAATATCATTTTCCCACCCAAAGTTTATATTATGATCAATTGCTGGCCGATTCCGACATCTTTACTACCCTGCACCACCACCATTCTCTTCCTCGATAATCACTCATCAAAACATCTCAAACCTTGCTCTTGTAGACCCCGCCAATCATCAAAAATCGAGTAATTTGTAAAACGCGTAACTGCCCCTCCCAAGTCAGATTCTGAGTAATCTCGACCACCAAAATTTAACCTATCACTACCAAAAGATTCATCGGTATCCCTTCTTCAAAAGCCCCAACATCTTGGAAGGAGTTTGCTCTCTATTGGCTGTTGAATCGGAAAGTGTATTCTGGGCAGTAAACGGAATATAAACTTTGGG